GGACCATGGATACAGTTTGCCCCGGAGCGATCTTTTTATATGGACGAGGTGTGTCCGCTCAGCTCAGCCGTGAAAATTGTAATGTACATGGCAATTCCATTCAATATAGACAGCATCCAGATGCCGGAGAGTTACGCAAATAGCCAAGGGGCATAGGCAGGAGCTTTGGGTTAGCAATCATTTTAAAACCCGCATAATTGTCGGGATTTGCACGCCAAACGCGGGTGAGAAAATGACTACATTTCGGGGTGGTCGGAAAAGGGGTTAATGTGGATAGGAGGAGTGGCCGGGTGAACCTAAAGTGGGCGAGACTCCAAAAAGATCTAGTGGTTACAGACAAACATTTGCAGCCCGAGCCACTATCTCCCGTAACAAAACTGTAACTTGCTTTAAATAAAAATTGACTTAATATTTATCGTAATACATTTAAGTCTTAACATGTTTTAAAATTTTATTTAAAAAAATGTTACTCTAGTCCTAGCCCATGCAAACATTTTAAAGAGGGTGCAGCTGAGGTGTTTTTGCTACGAGTTCTTTGTGAACTTAATGACAATTATCGACTATTAAATTTCGCATAACAGATAGTCGTGGATGTTTTCCACTCCCCTCTCTCCTTGGGCAATATCCTCTACTTTTTGGATTCTCCACGGGTGACAACTGCAGGCGCGGCATTTATTGAATGTTAAAATCCGCAAAGGCGAATAAAAAAAGGTGTATGTGAAATCCAAAGAAAATGCCGATAAAGGTAGACAGATAAAATCAGCAGGCACCGCAGGATATTTCAAAGAAGGGGATTACAACACCACCCGAAAAAAAGAAGAGACATTTAAAAAAAATGTATACAAAAATTAAACGTTTGCACGTGCGATGAAAGCTAAATTCGAGTTTACAAAATCAAATCAATTGCAGCGTACTTCAAATAAAATCGAAGATTCCGGTGAGTAACTCAATGTGATAATTACAATCAGTGGCGGATAAGGAATTTTGTTGAGGGGAGCTTTAAAAGAAAATTGTTGTAAAATACTAGCTTATAACCGAATTTCCAATCACTTAAACTTTTAGCATCCAAAATCCCCATGCCTCCGCCACTGATCACGACCATCATTGACCATTGACTATCAGCACGATGATGGGGATACTTGACATGTCCATCAATAATTTATTCGTTCAGTAATTGCTTTTCATGCTGCGACGAATATACATAAAAGAAAGTTTTTATACTTTTGGCAATGAGCTATTAACGAAACAGCGAATGAGCTAAACAAATAATTTGTTAATGGGACTACATGTATTTAATTATGTCATAATGGTGGATTGTAATAGGCGTGCTGCTGTGAATAAAGTACAGAAAATAAAAAGAAATTATACCAATAAAATAAATTGTTGCATGAGGAAGCGTTTGTGCTGGAAGCGCTGTTGTGCTTTTATATCAGGTGTTCGCATATTTATTGACAAGAAAAAGATTAAGAAAACAAGACAAAAAAATGTAAAAAAGAATGATTATAATTTAAACAATATTAGTATGCCAAGAAAAGCACATCCTGCGATTTCAAACAAATAAAATTATATTTGTGTATCTGTGTCTGAGCAAAACTATGAGCTATCTGTTATTTGCCGTTCACAATAAAAATTATATTAAAGTTGTAATAGTAATAGTTGCATAATAATGGGAAATAAATTATATATATGTGATTTTAGGTTTATGAACGAAATTCAGAAACTTAAATTCAATATAACTTAAATTTTAATATTGTTTACAATGTTTGATCTTTATTTATCAGACTGAGGGATTCGCTTCTCCGAAACATTTTATCAAATTTGGGTACTCACCCTTCAAAAATATGTAAATGCATCTCTTAAAACAGCAAAACATCAAAAAATCATTAATGCACACAACAGAGGCACTTCACTACGTATAAGTACCGAAAAAATGCGAATCATCCACCAAATAACTGCGAGAATCATAAATAAACGTTGACAAAACTTTGACTAAGGTCGATTAACCATCCCTCGAACGTAGGAGGTCAACACGGGGAGGTCACTCGTAAAAAGGCCGTAAAAAATAGTGAAATCGGCGTTACACAATTCTGAAATAGATGGATGATTTATGGACAGCTGGACAGACGCCCGGAACTCCAAAGGACTTGAATAAATCGACTGCGCCTGCGCACAGCTTGACAATCCGAGGCACTTGAGGCTAATTTCCCAGCAGTTGGCCAGCCGATTGAAAATATTTTTTAATTAAAAAATCGACATGCGTTTGTGGAATATATTGAATGAGTAAGTGACTGAATGAATGGGTCGGCGAATGCATGAATGACAATGTTGGTGCACACGCGTATTGAGTTTCCCCCGCGAGACGAGAACATGTTTTTCGATTTTCATGCCAGAATAATTTCGCATGTGCGGAAAACGGAGTACAGCTAAATGACAAAAACACTTGCTCGCCAAGCTGTGAAAATGTCCAAGTGGAAATCGGACACTAGACATGGCATTGACCATGTTCAATACCGGGTCGCTGAACGTTGCGTATTTACCCGGTTGTGTTTTAGTTGACTCTTTGTTTAGAAAATCTGTTGTATTTTTTTGAAGTGTGAAAAATACACTTAATTCTTTTAACAGTAAGTTCCTAGATGTACAAACATATTTTCACAAAATTTAAATTTACTTACTGGAGTTCCATACATTTAAAATGTTAATTTTTTAGAATCTCTATCAAGAATTAAAGTATGAAAATAAAAATGATTGCTGATGATTAACCAGAAATAACTGAAAGTTGAGTTATGTTCCCTGATTCATGGTTTATTTTTTGTATCAAACATATATGCACAATTTTTGCCTATCTTAATTGGAACTTTTTATTTTTTTTGAAACAGTGACATATCGAAAGTGAATTCCCTTGGCGATTATCTGCCTGAAAATTGTAGTTGCATCACATAAATCTTCTGGTCTGACTTTCGATCGCATACCAGCCACGCCCCTCAACCCTTGAGAGATAGAAACAATGTGTAATGCCACCACCGAACCACTCAACCACTGAACCACTTGAATAGCTGCATCGGGACATAAATCTTTAGATGGGACACCAAAAATTTGTCACTTTCACCGCGACAAAAAGAAAAAACAATTGACAAATGTGCGCAAAAAACTGGGGAAAACTCCCGAAAAAGGTAGACAAAATCGTAATGCATAGACAAAATCCCGCCATAATAAAATATATGTGAAAGAGAGAAAAGCGCAGTGAATTTTACGGTAAATTGGCTGAGCACAAAGGCAACCGCGAGAAGTCCTTTTAATCCTTTTTGCTGTACAAACTAACGACAGCGAAGTTGCCACTCAAAAGGTGAAAAACCGAGGGAAAACATTGCCAGGATGTGAACGGACACAGTGTCCTGCTGCGAACGGCACGCATTGCAAAGGGAGGATGAAGATAAGTAGCAGCTGCGCCTGCGCCAAGGATACAATTCGAAAATCGAAAGTGACCAGGGAAAAAGGGGTCGAAAAATGCGGTCGGCAGTACAAATTGAAATGCCAAAATCATTTCCATCGGCCGGCTTTATAATTACAAAACCAACAAATGCGATTAACTGGACTATAGAGTCGGACTGTAAAATTCCAGGGGGTTCAGTTTTGAGTAGTAAATTCACGCCTCGCTACACAAAAGCGCTGTAAATTATATTGTTAGACGAACTGACCACCGTCCAGTTCCGTTTCGGTGTCCGTGAAATTGCCAAATTCCCATAATTGCAGCTCCTGAAACAATGGACAAAATTTACAGCACAAAACAGATCGGACAGGACGAATGACGGAACCCTCGTCAGGTAGGAGGGGTGGTAAATTTTATTAGTTTGCTGTCATATGCTCATCGACTGTTTGTTTAGGATGCTGGATGAGCGGAGCAACAGTAACGGGAACGGAAACACGCACAGGACATGACAGGACATAATCATAAATATGGCAACTAAATTATGAAATGGGTCTGCCGCTCCCCCTCTTTATTCCCCGCGAGGCTTATTCGTCACGCTTGCCCAACTCTAAGTATTGATGTTTTAGAAAATAATGAAAGGTACTCACCAAATATTTTTAGGTTCCACAACTAAGTGAATTACTACTTCTTTTGTTAGCCTTAATAATTATAGAAACGATCGATTAACAATATATTTGAACAGTAGTAAAGCACTGCTTGCTGAATTCTGCACTGCTTTGAACTAGCGCCTCATTTATTTAGTGTGTGATTTACAAACTATTGAGTCAGGGAGCCAACACCACCTAGCGATAAGTAAAGTAACTTGAACTTCATGTAAAAAACATGTATACGCTATGTAGAATGTGTGAATAACATGTATAAAAATACACTGCCGCCATCTGTTAAAATAACTGACACTACTGGCAGCCCCAAATCCTGTCTGTGACATCTGGCAGCGCCACGACCAACGGTCACAATTAATTTAAAATAAATTTTGCACGAAAATATTTGTAAATCATTGCAGGAGCTATATTAGCAGTAATGGAGACATTTTCAACCCTATAAAGATGTGATAAACTGTATTAAATTAATTTCAATTAAATAAAAACCTAGTTAGCTTTGGAAAAAAAGTAATCCAAAGCAAAACAACTGAAAAACTATAAAACAAATGTCATTTTATGAATTTGCAGTTCCTTTTCTATAAACACTGACGTGTTGAAACATTTGCGCTGATTAGAAGTATGTTCAGTGATAAGCATGGGTGTTTCCAAAATATTAGTCATGTTTTAAAAAAAATTCTTATACACTTAATTTGTTATTCAAAGTTCTTTTTATCTTTTATGTAGAAATGTAGCTCGTCAGCATTAAACTAAAAACATGCCATACAGTCATTTCCACTTATGTTAAAAAATTAATAAAATCAAGCATACCATTATATTAATGGTATCTCCTAAAACTATAAGTGCCACAGTTTCCGAAATTATTTTCGATTTTTCTAAAAAGACAACTTTTTAAATAAAACTCTTTAAAAATGTACATTGTTTTCTCGTTTATTTGTTAGTTCTCAAGGGCTTCTCCATTTCTGGGGATACTTGGGGAGTACATACGTGTATACACAAACAATTCCAAGCAAAACGAACTTACACAATATACATTCTAGAGGGTCCCGTAAACAATGTTCTACGTGTTCATCAACTACGAATAATGAAACTAAGGTCGAATCTGTGGCAGATCATCTGAGTTGTTCGAATAGATTGGGTGGGGTTGGGTTCTGGATCGGGATTCGAATATGGATCGTCTTAGTTAAGTGCGTGCGTCTAATATTACCTTCTATATATATGATCTTTAGTGAGTATATTTATTTCGTGTTCGATTGTGTGTGGCTTTTGTGATATTTTCGTTTGCGATATCTTAGTTAATTTGATTGCATTTCTGTATTGTTTTATCGTTTACGGTTTCATACGACAATGTTTAACTCTTATGGGGTAAAATTTATGTTTCCGTTGCGATATTGAAGTGCTGGCTAATGTGGTATTTCTGAACAAAGGAAACAGAATAAACAATTCGTAACTCGTTCGTTATATCTTGTATACTTCCAACTATGCCTTGGATTCTCCATTAAATTTCATTCAATGGGTAAACTGTCTTTGGCTTTGTTTGCTCCTTTATTATATTTGTTGGTTTTGTTTCCCTAAAATATATTTTTTATAATTCATATTTAAAACACGCCCCACATTGGGAGCTTAAAACGATTTTAGGCTACAGTAAAACATTTTCAATGCGCCAAGCTGCGAAGCTTTTAAGTCTTAACTATTCAGTAAACTACCAGTAAAGTGTATATTTCCGTATAATTTGAAAACGGTTTCCCTTTTATTTTGTTAAAAAAAAACCAACTAATCAGCAGGATGGTTTTTTTTTTTGTGTTGTTTTGTGGCTTAGTAGTCTAGAGATTAGCTTCAGTGAAGAATATTCTAGTTAATTTCGAATTGCTGTAAAAGCAACCGGCTAAAGTTCAATATAAAGAGAAAAATATTATTGTTACCAGAAGAAAGCTTTGAGTGTGGATTTAGCAAAGGCGGGAGCAGCCCAATTAAATGTTTCTCAGTGAGTGGGTGTATGTGTTTGTGTCGAACCAAGGTTATAATTGCCTTACCTTAACCAACACTTGCAGTGGGGAAAGGGTCCAAAAGAGTATTTTAGTGAGATTCTGTTGTTTAACTTAGAAAGCATAAATTGAGAAGTCCAAAACGGAATCCAGAATTTTATACGTTTAATTTGATTGTATGTGTTGTAGCACTTATTGATTTGTATCTATTGAAAAACTGAAACTACTTTTATTTTGAATAGTTAAAAGTTACCTATCCTTAAAAAGCATAATTCGGTAAGTCATTACGAAAACTTTAGAATCAATTCGTTTATTTTGTTGTTGTTATTTTTAACAAACATTAATGACTACAGGCATTTCCCTAATTTTGGGCATTAAGCATTTGAATCACTTCCCTTGAAAAAAACTCTTTTGTTACACCTTCCCCACTTAACCATCTCATACCTAGCCTAGTAGTTCTATAACTCTATGGTTCCCCGTTCGATTTCTGTTCTATTTGGTTTCTTTATCACATGCTTTGCATTTCGGCTGCTCAAAACGTGTCTGTGCGTGTATATAGTATATTTAGTGTGATCAGGATCAGGATCAGAGTCCGCCTTAGAGCTTGCCGAGGTCGGGTTGCTCCGGATCGGTTGGACTGATCGGGGACATTTCCACACTGTCCAACAGTGGTGTCTTCTCCTCGCTGCAAGTGCTGCCCGGGGCATCGTCCATGTCCATGACGAAAATCCTCGAGAGATCGGCCCCACTTAGGGTCAATCTCGAGGGGGACTCGTCCATTGAACTGGTGGCACTGCTGCTGTTGCTGTTGCTTCCACTGCTGGTGGTGCTCTTTTGGGTGACTATTGGGCTACTGCCAATAGTGGTGCTCGGGATGGCGATGCTCTGGTCGAGGGACTTGGAGGGCGTGCGATAGCTGGCAGTTGCTGAGTTGGTGGTGGCCACTAAATTCGATTGGCTGGACTGAGCGGACAGCGAGGTGGTCTTAATATTGGTCGTCTTCAGGTGGCCGCCAATGGAGCAGCTGCTGCTCCACCTGCCACCGGCCTGATAGTGCTTCTGGTGGTGCTGGTGCTGGTGCTGTTGCTGTTGCTGAAGCTGGTGCTCCTTCTGATTGTAATGCCGTAACCCTGCGTTACCCTGCGATGATACCGTTGGATTATTGTCATCGTTGAAGCTCATCTCGTCCTCGCTGTGCGTGTTATTAATGGCCGTCTGCTTGAGTCGCACCAAATGTCGCTCCGAGTACGATTTCCGAGCGTCCATAACTCTCAGATAATCGGAGGACTCGCCCAAGTCCTCGCTCTTCGAGCTGCAGTATCTGGCTGAGTTTCGCGAGCCACTGCCATTGCCGCAGAAACTGGTGGTGACACTCAGCATTTGCTGGCTTCCGCTGAGCGATCTCCGGCTGGCCTGGGAACTGCTCCTGCTCTCGTACTGATGGTCCCTTAAAGAGCATGGCGAAATCCTGGGCGAAGGATTATTCTCCATCAGGGAGTCGTTGCTCTTGGCGATTCTGTTCTTGCGATAGAACTTGCTGTCCCGCCAGAGGGTCTGCCTTCCGGTTCGCTGCATCTCAATGCAATTACCCCCCGGCTGACTGGGGGGCGTTTGGCTGGTGGGCGTGGCCGTGGGCGAGTCCTGACCTTGGCCTTTGCTAATGCGAAAGGAGGCGTGCGTAAGCTTCTTGTACTTCTCGCTCTGCATATTGACGCGATTGTCCGAGTGGGTGCGATCTGCCATCGGCAGAAAGGCATTATCGATCCGACGCTCCTCCTCCAAGGAGCGAAAGGCCAGCCGATTCACGTGCTTCAGGTGCTGCTTATCGGAGGTCCTCTTTGGGGACATGTCCTCGAAGGAGCTCACCTGGAAGGGAAACTAATTAAGCTTTCATTCACATCGCAAGAAAAATTGTAAGGATTGTAAATGTTAATGCTTAGAAGAAAATTTAAATGGTGAAATTTAAAAGACAATGTGACATTTCAAATGTGTTACCTCTTAAATTTTCTTTAAGCAATAAAATAAACTATTAAATTAGGTAACAAAATAATATAGGTTTAATAAAATCGAATATGCAAAACAGTGGAAATTGGGTCATCTGGGTAATTTTAACTATTTGGTTGAAGTCAATGTTACTACAATAATTTGATTATTTACAATGAATCTAAAGAGACGAATTTTGTTGTTTGAAATGTATTTTTAAGTACTCACTAATTCGATAATTAAAATGGTCATCTGGCGTTACCTTTTTTTGTTTTTAATTTAGTTAATATTTATTTAATTAGACATGTTTTTGTTCTTCCGTCCGCAGTAAGTCCACAGAAGTCAGTGCTTTAAATTTCGTTGGATATGACCTTTTTAGTTCCCAAGATGAAGATTTGTAAAAGTCTTCCACTTCCACCCCTTACCCCTATTATTAATTCTTAGGATTGTCAGAGTAGATATCTCGAAAACGGCCTATTTGCAAACGATATTAAAATATACTCACCCTGTACTTTTGTGAGAACACCTCTATCATCCCCGACCGCTTGGAGGGCGATGTGGTGTAGATGGAGTTCTGATCGTTGACCAGGATCTTGGGCGGATCGAACTGTTGCTGCTGGGGATGTCCCTGACCCTGTCCCTGCCCGTGACCCTGCGCCTGACCTTGACCCGTATTGCTGGTGGAGGCCAGCGAAGAACTGCTCGAACTACTGGTGGCTGTGACCAAAATCTTCGGTGAGAGCGAAACGGGAAACTGCTGGGGACGTATGTTTCCGAAGGATCCGCAATTCGAGCCAGAGGAAGTGGAACCCGTTCCCGACATGGCATCATCGATGTGCAGGAAATTATTGGGCGAGCTCTCGCGACAGGGCGAGGATATAGCTGAGTCCTGGGAGACCATGCTCCTGGGGATGGTGGCCAGTTCCAGGCAGGTTTCATTGCCGCCCGTGGTGGTGGCTATAATGACGTCCTCCACGCCCTCGTCGATGGGCGACGAAATGGACTGGAAGCTGCTCAAGCGAATGCTGGACGAACCGATGGAAAGGTCGTTGTCGGTCAGAGATCCAAAGGCCGAGTCCTGGGAGGGATTGCTGCGGCCGTACTTGAGGCACTTGAGGGAGTACTCCAGACGCCTGCTCTTCGAGTTCTTGTAGTTGCACATATCGGCAGTGAGTTGATGGTTGAAGGACGCCCCAGCAGCCGATGAGTTGCAGCCTGGAGCATACAGCCTTTGAGCCGCTCCCGACGAGCCGCTGGCCTCCTCTTCGGGCTCGAATTCCTGCTCCTCATCCGCCTCCTGCCCCTCATAGACATCGGCACCGGCTCCCTCGGCCAGCAGGACATCCAGGTTGCTCTGGCTACTGGTACTACACCGAATTGTCGGCGGCTGGGGATCCTGACCCCCCGACGACTCCTGGCCATTATCGTCGGAGTAGAGGGCCGCAGGGTCACAGTAGTGGATGGGCGACTCCGAGGCATACGAGTGGACATACGAGTGGGCGGAGTGCCATTGCTGCAGGCGGAGCAAGTGCTGACGATGGCAGCTCCCACCGACGACAATCTCCTCGAGGAGACCCTCCTCCGAATCGCTTGATATGTCAAATGAGTCCATTGTTCGGCTGATACTGTGTGGGTCGGTAGGTAGGTGGTTAAGGGGTCAAAGGGGAAAAAGGGGAAAAAGATGAAAGAGGTGAAAAAAGGGCAGAGAATAACAATCAGAGTTTTCAGAATTTTCGATTCCGATCCGGCAGAGCTACCGGCGGCACCTGATTCGATTTTCTTTTGTGTTCGGATATGCAGAAAAGCCATGGCATGTCATTGTATGCGATGAATGCACTGATGGGTCTTTGTGAGTATGTCTATGAAAGTGGGCTGCACTAGAAGCGTCGATACGTGCGTATTTTCAATCAAGCTTAAGTCGGCAGCTTTGCTTTCAAGCTCCTCCACAAACTCAATTAGTGACCCCAAAAATGATTGGTATGCTGATATATAACAAAGTTTCTAGGATATGACATGGATATCTCAAAGTGTGGTCAATTCAATTAGAAAGCAAATATATTGTATACAAGTTTGTCTTTAACTAGCTTGCTAAACTAAAGTATTTTCTTACTATGCTAGATTTACAAAGTTATATTTGGCACTAAGAATTTATTGCATTTAAAATATTAGTCCTAGCTTAAATGGCCTTGTAAGGAGGCGAGACGACTTTTGGACTACATAAAACAAAGAGGTTTTATCAATGCCCAGAAAATACATCGAATTATAGAACTAATAACTAATGTCTTGGAAAATAAGATAGAATTGCACATTTTAATCTTAATCTGCGTACTGAGATTATTTTGTTCTCGAAGCGAACCAAATATCTTCCCTTTACTAAAAATACTACAGCATGCAATCAACAGAACAAAAACAGGAAACTTTTTAATTACAAGCTCAATAAATGGGATTTATTGAAAATGGTTAGGCAAATAGCTTACAGCAAGGAAAACATTCAAAATGAATTATGCAAACCGGCAAATATAAAAACAATAGTAAACAGAAAGACATTGGATAATGTGGTTTGCACTTGTTAAATAAATAAATACATGTTCTATGTACTCTGTCGACCCTCCTCCGATGCAGGTTACAATTTGTGGTGCGGAGTGGATTGCTTGCTGGGTGGTGCAACATGGGCTGCGTGGCTTCTCGTGGTGGTTGGAGCATACAAAAATTTTGCCACTTACCACTTTTAGCTACAACAAACATAGTTACATTTTTTTGCAGCACTTAGTTTCATTTTCCGTCTGGTATAAAAATTGTAATTTTCGTACAAAAAAATGATGTTGCTTGCTTTCTCGGTTTATTTATATTGGTTTTATTTAATTTTATTCAGGTATTCTTTTGGGATTTATTTCACACGATATTCGTTTTGTAAAATTTAATTGTGAGATATTTCTTTTGTGAGTTGTTCATTGTTGGTTTTTGGGGTTCGGGTTCAGGTTCGGATTTCTTTGGTTTGGTTTAGTTTGGTTTGGTTCGGTTCGGTTTGGTTTGGTTTTGGATTCGGTTTAGTACATACGAAAGACTTCATAGGGCGCAGGCAGAACACTGATGTTGTTGTAGTTGTTGTTGTTGGTATTTGTTAGTCGAACGGGTTATGTAAATAAACAAATGCAGAAATGCAAGAGTTTGTAAATCAAAAACAAAACACACACATAGGTAATGTAAACAAAAATGAACGTTGATAGACATTCAAGAGCGGATCGGTATGTGTGTAGTAGATGATGGGTTTGGTGTAGCGGCAACTGTAACGGGAACTGCAACGGTAACGGTTTTCTGGGCGCTTTCGCAACACTAAGATAGATAGACACACACACACACAACAAAGTTGAGTAGTAGTAGAGTAGTAGTAGGCGGTAGGAGAGAAAGAGAGAGTAAAACATTGCATACGGAAAAAATACTTTAGTTGAAAAAATCCTCCACTACATATATTGTTAATTGTTATGAAAGTAAAACATGCGTTTGATTATTTAATTATATAATTTTTTTTATTAAAGGCAGCAGAGTAAATTTACACGGGGTCAGAGATGCTTAAATATACATGAGGCAACAAATGAGCACTTTTTTCCTGTATTTATTGTTTTGGGACTTTTTCTCTTGCTAGTTCGCTGGTTGCCCTCGTTTTTACCACTCAATTATACTCCTGTCTTGTATGCATAATTTAAAATTCTGCCTACGGTTTTTTGTTGGTAGATGGGTCAGGCGGCGTCAGTCCAGGACATTATCATAATTACCTTTAGGCACGCACTGGCACACGCACATCGTCAAGCCTATGGCAACATGTTCACAGTGTTAGTTTTTCTCGCCTTTTCTCGTTTCTTTTTGCCTAACATCTCCGCCGATGTGTGTGTGCTTTTCTCTTTATTAGCCCGAAATGCGAGTGCACACCACCTGGATTAGCAGGTTCGTGCGAAGATTTATTTGGCGCCCAGCACGGGCCCTTCCATTTAGTCTACGAGATTTCCACTTCCTTATGTATGTTTTGGTTTAAAAGGTTTCCTCTAAGTATGCACAGGTGGGTTTAACTCTAAGCAATTTTAGTTAATAAAACGAAATTAAAAAATTGATTTAAGGTTCTCCTGTTTGTTATTCGTCAAATAGCCAACTTAAAGTCCGTGTATTTTACGATACTAGTTTTAAGTTAAGTTTTAAGTCTATGAAAATCAAATGAAAAATAATAAACGGTCAAATTTGCTGTTCTATTAATATTATTAAGTTTGTAAGGACGTAGGACTCTAAAAGTCCCTCAAAATATTAATTTAAATTACTTAACAAAAAACTAAGGGCGCTAAATGATTAACATTTTAAAGCATTAGTAATTTGTAGAATTACTAAGCAAAATAAGTAGATTTTTTGTTTAACAAACTAAGATAAACTATATTTTGCCTACAAAATCATCACTAGTTAAAACGCACTGTTTTCTTTTTTAAACCTAGAAAAACATAATCCTACACTGAGTTGTTAAATTTTTGATGAGCATACAAGACTTGTTTTTCCTCTCACACCGAAAAACATGACGATGAGCAGTGTATGAGTCAGTGTGTGTGGTGAGGGATATATGTGAGATATGCCAGTGACTGACAAGGTAAAAATTTGCACAATTTGCATCTAGGTGGAAACAAAAGCAACCTCTGTTGGAGCAAACACTCACCCAGTGCGTCGATCGTGCGGCGTCGAAGGGGGCGTGCAGGGCGAGTTGGCCTCACTCAGGGAATGACCCAGGGAGGCGCATTGGCGCTTCTTCACCGCTTGCAGTAGGTTCAGGGTGGACCTGCTGAGGCTCGGCTTAATTGTCTGCAAATAAACAGTGCTATAGTTGGGAAATACATAATAAAGGCTATTTCTCAATGTACTTACACTGAAACAGGGACCGCGCAGCTCGCGCAAATCGATGCTGCGAAATAGATCGCAAAGGACTAGGTCCTCAACGGAGGGGCAGACACCGCTAGGCGGCTCAAAGATTAGACCCAATATTTCCAGAATCTGTAAAGAAGATGAAACAATCTAAGTAAAATCATTCGTGGCTTCTTATCCGAAGTTTTCTGTCAATTTGTAACACTAGGATGTTAGCAAATAAACTATACATTACTTTTTTTCTTGTCTGAAAAAAATAAAAACAAAATAATAAAGTAAAAATGATAATACCAGATAAAGATAAATAGAATAATATAATTTTGTAGTACTTGCGAGGCTCACTCTGTTCTGGTGCTAAGCCATTTTCTTATTTACTAACCTGGCCAATTTGTGGGTAGTGCTGCAGCTCCATCTCGAGCACCCGAATGGACGGCTTGGGGGTGGTCAGCTCCTGACCCGTGCACATCTCGTACAGCAGGTGACCGAAGCAGACGATGTCCACGTTCTCGATCTCGGTGACCGAGCGGGACCACATGACGGCATTAATGCGCGAACTGAGGCCCAAAAGGCCGTTCTCCAGGCCCGATAACCTGATGTGGACGGAAAAACAAAAAAAAAATAGGAATAAATCTCACAGAAAATGCATAATTAAATGGCGGATCCTTTCTCCACTCCATCCTTTTGCTTTTCGGTCTTAATTATGCAACACATTCGATGGCGGCTCTGCCATATATATTGATGGCCAACACGTGGCTATGGCGGCCACAAAGTGTCTACTTTTATGGATTTATGTGCGAGCGAGAGGGGCTTGGTATCATCTGCCATCTCTGTCGCCACTTGCGATGTGCCTTTATGACAAAGAGCGTATGTCAGACCTGATATGACAATATTATGGTACTACACGGTGTTGTATATTGCGGATTGGCTGGGGCTTTCGGTTCGAGGGTCCTGCCAAGGATTCTCAGTGTTCATTAGAGCGGAATATTGCTGACTAGTTGATAAAGGTATCCCAAATTGGCTGACAATAGCCGTTCTGAACATGCTAGTTGCCGTCACAGTTTACTTTTACTGGTTTTGTCTGTCATATAGCTATCTTTATTGTTTTATGCATGTTGTTATAAGTTCTCAGAATCAGAAAATGATCAAAATCAGGTCAGACTAATATGACGGTTCTAGGAAACGAATTTATAGTGGTATAAATTTCTTACGAAGAGTATTTACCTAATCAAAGGTGTAGTTATGACAGTAACGTTTGTGAAATTAAAGTCCTTCGCATTAAAATAATTAACCACACAGTTATGGGTAACTAAATCGTGAGAATTTTATATACTATTTAAGCTTGCTGATTTGTATTAGTAGATTTAGTTCCTATTTAACTTTAATTAAGGAATTGATTGTTGAATAAATCCTGTCTAATTGCATCATGTTTTTATAGCTGTGACTAAACTTTGGTAGCCGTCTGCATTTTCTACATCTTGCCTTGATAACTATTGCAAGCAGTTTGAGATTCTTGTCTTAATTCTGTTTGAGCAAGTATTTTCCTTTCCCCTCTGTCAATCAGCTTAACAGCTTACTAATTTCTATTTTCCCCTTGTCCTGCTCACTGGTCTATTGCAATCCTGCGATCGATGACTGTACATATATATATATACATATAAGCAATTTATATGAAAATCAGCTTTTTCAATGCCCTCCTGTGCACAGCGATGCCCTGGCGACGATGGCAACTAAATTGGGTCATGCACTTGGCGGAAACTTGAACAGGAAAAAATTCGCACCTTAATCGACTTTCACCTATGGGAACTTCTCGTATGCACACGCCACGCCCCCTTTTGCCCTTTTTCCCGAGTTGAGTTTTTGTGCCGACCATTTATTTTTAAAATGGCAAAAAGCTAAAGCTTTATTTTTGTTACACCTATTCGATGTTTGCCAGTGGGTGGGTGGCGAAGGGAGGTGTTTTACGCGTTGTCGCACAGCAGTTACATGGATCACAGAGAGGGGTGCCGAGGGAGGGGGGGTTTCGAAACAGGGACATGCATTTAAAGTGCCCTGAAATGGCCAACGGTTCTGTGGAATTGCTTTTAATTTGCCATTTAGGCTTCTATTTCGGTGAATTTTGCATGACTGGACCTTCCGGCGGGACAGTTCGATATCAAATGTTTCGGCCATTATTAAATTAGTTCACAGTTGAGTGGATCCCAATGGACGACGGCACGATAAACTCACCTGGCGGCTCCATTCTGCAGGATGACATTGCCGCTGTGCAGGTGACCGTGAAGCGGAAAGCCGCGCTCCTTCAGGAAGAGCAGTGCCTCCAGGATCTGTCGCCCCAGGCGCTGCACCTGGCTGACCGGCAATCCATTTGGCTTACGCGTGTACTTCCTGGCCCACGGCTCGTTCCACTGTGCCTGAAGGGGGAAATAGATTTCAATTACTTTTAGACGACTTAAAAACACTCCGAATTATAAGGCTCGCAGGGCCAATTGTTTGTTTAAATAACGGATATTTTAGTAAACAAATCCTATCTTATTCTAAGTAAATATTTTATATATAACAAATTAAAAGAAGCCTTTTAATAATAAATTTTCGATATAGCAATTGACTGTTCTTCTCAGTAAAATGTTATTTAATTTAAACTTAAACATTTTTTGTTAAGAAGCCAACAATTGCCCCTAAATAATGATTGTAAATAATATTGAAATTACTAATTAAATTAAATATGTTAGTTCACAAATCAATTAACATAACTCTTCATTAAAAATATTTCTTGGTATAGACATTGCTTTTCCTCCTAAATTAAAAAATTCCCATTTTGTAACTATGTGTAAATTGTAAATAAAAATTAAATGAACAATAAATATGAAACAATAAAATCAATTGGAAAGTGTTTAGACTTCTGAATCATTCGTGTTACTCACCTTATATATGAGATCTTTGAGACTGCCCCGCGAGTTAAAGGGCGTCACCAGACAGGCGTAGTTATACGAACTGCTTTGCAAGAATCCCAGATCCAGAACGGGATATATGTACGGATGATGCAGCGAGCCCAGGAGCTCCATGAGTATTTCCCTGGCACTTTCGTTGGGCGGGAGATCCTCGAAGGCCACGCAATCGGGAGGCAGAGGTAGCAAAGTCATCAGACGATCGGTGCGGACCTTAAGTGGAGTAAGGAAAAATACTCTTCGCTGGGAAATACAAATTTATTTAGTGGCATCGCACTTACCGAAGCATCTGTGACCAGAAACCAGTTCTTGCCATGCCTCGAACCGATCTCATCCAGGTGGGCGATTACTTCGTAGCGCCCATTGGCACTCTGAATCCATTCCTGAGTGGCATTCAGGGCCTTTTCCCTCTGGGCCCGCTCCCTGGGACTTCGCTCAACGATCCCATTGCCACTGTCCAAGGCGGAGTACTGATACTTGATATTGGGCCTGAAAAATGTCAAACCCATTTAAGATCTCAAGCTCTACGATTTCCACAGATAAAACATTATTAGAGAGCATACGTTGTTGAAGGTTTGCTAACTAAGGAAACTTGTTTGTATAGTACAACTAAAACTATAACTATTAATGCTATGACTATCTAGAAAATGTCTTGACATTCATCACACCACATTCATTTTGGGCAGGTTTTATTTACAACGTCCAGCAGGATTGTGCATTTAGCATAAATTTCCCACAATTTGCTTAAGCGACTGCACGTGGACAACAGCAAACATATTTATTGTTGGTTCTGCCTTGTTGAATAATTTATTTACAGAGATTTATTTGCTTATTCACCTGACGGTATGCGGGTAGGAATCTAAGGACAATCTGAACTTTACATTCCAGTGGCTTATGACTGATGAGATATTTTAGTGAATTTCAAATGACTTATGAATGGTTATATAAGTATTACATTCACATTAATACACTGAAAAGAATAGCATTACAAATACAATTTCTTGCTAGAACAGCTGTAAAATCCTTGGATCGAATGCATTCTATAGTCAATTCTAAGCAATATTGGCAAAGGAATTAGTAGTCAAAAGTTACGCTTTGACCCCTAATCAAATATAAATTCTGAACTCCTTTTTTTTGCTGGCATAAGTGTTTCTTTGTTTCATTGCTATTTGGATCGCAGTCAAGTTTTTACATGGACTAGGTGTTACAAATAAATTAAGGTTTGGCGGTTTCTATGATATTTTTCTTTATAACCGTTTATTAATGTTTTATATCTCTTTCTACACGGTTTTATATTTTCACAGAATGAAGTATGAACTAACTTTTCAAACTAAATACTGTTCATCCTCATCTCTTCACAAGCAAAGCTCTTATTTAACTGACCAAAAATCAGAACCATAGAGACCCTCAAAAAACCATCGACATCCACAGGTCACACGACAATTGCTGTTGAAATTTTAGCCGAAAAAAAAGGTTGGCACAAAATAATTTGCACAGCACAAAATTTTTTTGTTGACAAGGTCCGAAAGGTGCCGCAGGACGAAGGATTTGCAACTCAATGAGGACGGAAAACAAAAGAATGGGCCAGAGGAAGAGGAAGTAACTGCCTGCACAATGGCGCAGCGGAAACGGAAGCAAGAGTTTATCATTTCGTTTCTTTTCGTTCCGTACGTTTTTTTTTTGAGAAACATTTTATTATTTTGTTTATTTGTTGCAAGTGAAGAGTTGTACAAAGAGAAGAGTGCAGAAAATCAACTGAAAATGGAAACGGTGTCAAACGAAATGAAAGAACGAAGAAAAGCTAAATAAACTGCACTCACTTGGAGGCTTAAACGAGAAAGACATGGTAAGAAGAGACAAAATAACAAAGGCAGAAACAGTAACAAAAAGTTGGCAAAAGAGGGAGAGGACTGGGCTCATAAACAAACACTTACGGGCCACTCAATCAAAACAGAGCGAAGGTTAAGCACATCCTCGGGTTAAGTTTAGCATGTGTTTGAAAATTTAATAAGGCACAAAACGAAAAAGAAGAGAAAGTGGAGAGTAAAGGAGAGCAGAGGGACATAGAAAGAGAGTGAAAGTGTGTTCGTGTGTGGCATAAAATGTTGGCCAAGAGGCTCCTTCCTTCCCTCCCCTTCCCATTCCCTTTCCCTTCCTCTCACCCCATTTAACTTTTATTGCGTCACAAGAACTTACAGAAACGGAATGAAAACACAGCCACACAGAAAGAAACGTACAAAAGTAATTTAAGTTTGGTTTAATGATTTATGGCAAATATTTTTAAGATTTATAATATGTAAAATCTATAACTCTTCAAGGAAATAAGCCTGAACCTAATTATCTTGACTTTACTATAAAGCAATACTTTTATTTTTGTAGTGTACTCTTGTGTGTGTTAGCTAGACCAGAACAACCAAAAGCTAGGAAAACTCTTTGCCCATTGCCTGTCTCTTTAGGCGCATGGCTTGCGCTTTTGGCCAACGGTGCGTATGAGAAATATTTTTCATTTCCCTGCTGTTCAAGACCTTGACTCCGATTGTAGCTGTATTGGGTTTTTGCAACCTACTAACTGTGTTTGCCGGCGTGTGTTTCCCTGTTTGTTTGTTGACTTAAGCACATTTTTGTTGCAAAGCGAAGAGGTGACTTTCCTATGTTTATCCTATTGGTGATATTGCAGCTTAAATATTTGTTAAAGACTCGACGCACTTGTTGTTTGTCAACTCTGGAAAGTGAGCGGAAACGGAAGGAAAATTGGTAAGAAATATCGAGGAGAAGAAGATAGTAGAATTGAACTCTCGAAAAAAAATTTGGTTTTTCGGGACGACCAATTTATTTTCTCATAATATAGACCTTGAATAAAATTCAATCATCTTTTTATTTACGGGTACGTAACCAGTAAATAATTTGCTAATACGACCACAAAAAGAGCAAAGCCAATAACAGTAAATAAGAAACGTTAATTAAAATAAGCACCCTTTTATGCACCAGGTGAATGGCGTTTCCATCCCCTGCTGAAAATAAATAATAACATTGGCGACTGGTGAAAAGAAGCGAACCGAAGAGTTCAAGGGCCAAAGCTATCTGTCAGATGTATAGATATATACGTAGAGTCGAAAGATAGCAAAGCTGTTCAAAAATGTTCGGATACTGCGTGTAATTAACGTGTTCGTGTGTGAAATTTGTATTGCATACTTTGCGGCACTCACACATGCATATTCACCTGCTTCGTTAGGGGCACACACAGATACACACAGATACACACCCACTTTTCATTGACGTACACTTACACACACGAACAGCTGCTCACGCTCGCTTGCACATTCATCACACGGCTCAGCACGTAGACACACACACACACAATACATAGACGAATCAATTTTTCGCCCTTTTCGAGCAAACTTTTTCCGAGTTGATAATTTAATTTGCAATTTTTGTATGTGTGTGTGTGTGCGCCTGGGCATCTAATTTGAGGAATTTTCACCTCGCAAACTTTCACCTGCTATTGGAACAAAAGAAAAACCGGAGGGAGTAAAAGAAAATGCATTCTATCATCGCGTTTAATACTTTGACTTTGGCTCTGCCTTTGGCTTTTCATTTGAAATGAGAAAACTTTTCAAATAAAGTTGGGCGAAATATTTGGCAAGCGGGAAAAGAGTCTGTCTAATGTTAAGGGCAATATATATTTTTTTTAGATTTACAAAAATCATTGCCCACAAAGCTTTCAAGTTAATTATTTTTGTGGCCGCCGCTCTAGCCCTCTTGAAAACATTAGACTCTTCAGATGGTTTTTCTTTGGTATTACTTGTGTTATCTCTATGTATATACTTGTGCATGTGTGGTACATCAAAATAAACTTGAATAAAAAGAATTGCTCGGTGATTTTTTTCTACGTGTGGCAAACATTAAAAGCATTTCAGGTTTTATTTCTAGTCATTTTTGGCATGCAAAGTGCTGTAGAGCTGGAATAAAAGAAATCAAGTAAAATGTAAAAATAAACCGGCAAGCAAAAGAAAAAACTTGGCATTGAAATCTGTACACTAGTGTGAGGCTGATGCTGAATTTCAAGTATAAGTACAAGCGAAATACAAAATAGATTAGTTTAGTATAGAGTAGAGTAGTAAATGCAACCTTGTTGTCAGTACTGAATCTATGGTATCTCTACTTCCGGTTTCCGCTGGCATCGACTTGCTAAAGAAGAGCCTAGCTAGATTGTCTAACCTCGCGCTAACCAGCGGCGATTTCTCCGAGTGCTCGGATAGATCTGAGTTATCTTGCTCCGAGCTCGCCGACCGATTGCTGCAAATAGAAGGGTACACAATGGTGGTTGCGGTGGGAGTTTTTTGGTTCGTGGGTTTTTAGGCAAAAAGAAAGAATAATTAAAAAAAAACAAACAGCGATATGTGTGTGTGTTTTCTTCTCTTCTTGGACTGTCAAAGAAGCTTTACAGAATTGAAGTAAAATAAAAATGTAACGAACTAAATCATAACTCGAGGAACCTGTGCACTGTGCTAGATCTTGCTTAAGTGTGTGAGTGTCCTGTGCTCACACACCCGCACACACATTGCAAAAGTTCTATATACACACACATACGGGCGTATATATATATATATATTTAGATATATATATATATCCGATGGGGTACTCACCTACTATAGATCTGGCGGCGATTGGCAGCTGTCAGGGCCGAGACATCGAACTCGATCGCCGAGTTAGAGCGTTTCAGGCCGTTCGCCTTGTGCAGCTTCTTCATAATGTTCCTCACTTTCCTATCGCATTGGATATCCGTTTTTGGTTATCGGTTGAATTGACAAATTGAGACAAACATTGACAGTCATTGGCAGTTTGCAGTTAAAAGTATAGTCCGCTAAAGAACTCGATAAGCATTTGCTTTGCTTTGCATTATCCAATATATATAGGTTATTTAATGTAATCTTAAGACTAAGTAAAAACGATTTAATCAAGAGATAACAATACTATTATTTAAGAAATTTTAAAAATTTGGAACAAATAATTTAAAAATTATACATTTTCATTCGTTTTAAAAAAAGTGCCTAAATGCAATAATAATATGTCCCTTAAATTATTATTTTCAAATTCAAAACCAAAAGGGTAAGATGTGTTCGGTTCTTAGTAATTTTGTTTGACCATTTAATGAACTATTTTACCACTTTGTTGTATTCCTTGTACAAAGCTTTACAAGTACTTATCGCAACTCCCTAGTTTTGAGTTCCTCAACTTTCGGCACCACGGATAACTCACTTTTCGGGCACTGGTGGTCGGACGAAGGGATCGTGACCTGTGACGGCACTGTTCCGGCTATCGATCCGCTGCTGCTGGGCAGCCTTGTTGAACTTGAACATGGTGAAGGACTTTTTGGCACTGGCCACCTCACACACGCGAACGATGATCTTGCGGCTGCTCTTGAAGACCGTGTTCAGGGTCTTGTAGACCAGGATCGAGACGGATTTGGGGGCGTGGGGATTGTGGCCGGGTTGCTGCGTTAGGGGCGTGGGCAGAGATTGCTGAGGCTTCAGTTGATGCACTGGAGCATGCGGCGCGGTCGACGCCTGTGATTGTGATCGGGTGATGACTTTGCTTTCCCTCGCGAGATTATTCCGATCGCGCTGATCCCGCTGATTCCGGTGGCAGCTGATGATGAGCTCCGGCTCCGGATGCGGCGATGCCGGCTCGTTGACCTCGCTGCAAGTGTCCTGTGGTGTTTTCAAGTGTTTTTGTGGGGGAGTTTCGAACAAAAGTTGAGTGGCCACAGAGAAATGGAAAAAATATGCGGTAGAACGAATTAAAAATTGATTAATCCCAAAACGCGGACTGAGCACAGCAACGCAATGAAAAACGAGAACGGACAGAAGCGCTTCGTGAAAAGTAAAATGGGTAAATCATAAGATATTTAAGTTATTTCTATCACCCCGGCGGTTGCACTTGCTCAACAATCGTTCAAAGAGTGTAAAATAACTTGGGTATAATTATTGCTGTAAAAGACAATCACAAAAGCATTTTGATAACGAACTTTGCCAAGTCCTTTGTTTCTATTTTTTATGTGTTTCTGTGAAACGGAAGGAAAAGAATAACCAAATTAAGGATAAAACATGCTTTAGGGCATAGGCCAATTTATCAATTCAACTAAACTAATTTACAGCCAATTTGTATAAAAGCGTATTCTAATTTAAGGAAATTTGCATAAAAGAATTGCGTGTAACAAAGAAATAATTTAACAAAATTCAGCGTGTCTTGTTCATATTTAAGCAGCCAATTGATGTTTGGAAAATCATAGTTCGTTTGCTTGTGTAAAAGTTGTGGTTTGATTTTTAGCTTTGCTCTGGTGATTTGATTTGCTCTCAATTTGCTGGCTAATTTGCTTCGCTCGATAACTTGACTTGTTGAAAGCAATGAAAGCAAATTTACCTACCGACAGCGATCTCTTAGGCAAACTTCGCTACAGTCCAAAATTGCAAGACACCTAAATCCGGGGTTCGATGATTTCAGAAATTTAGTTTTCAATTCAATTCTTCAGTTTTGCAAGGGTAAATGGTGGAAAAACAATGGGGAAACCATTTGATGAAATGCGATGAGAACGAAATCAACTTGACCGCATTTAATTTCAATTTGCTGGCTTATATCCACATAATTTTATTGATATACCCTGCGTCAATTGGATAATAATTTAATTTTTCGGTTGCGTTTGGTGGTGCTTATTCGAGGTTTTATTGGATTTTACCGGTTTCTGTCGGTCGCAATCGGAAATTACTTAAATGGTTTTAGATTCAATAAATATTAATAATCACCTCAAAATGCGCATTAGAAATTAATTATTAATAAATATTACTCATATATAAAAGTATTATTCTCTCTTCGCCCTAAACTACCACAAATTTCTTGACATTTGTCCCAACGAAGTGGGTAAAATGCTCATTTTCTCAATTATAGCCTCACTGCTTTTTAAATTTCTGCGTTATTTTTGGTCACAGCAGCAATTAAATATTTGCCGTAGACACTATGAATTCGATTTTAATTTCAGATACCACAACCCTTCACTTAGTATTGTTGATGCAGTTGTTTTGTTAATTAAAAAGTACACGCCCCTTCAGCATGCAAAACTTTTGAAGTTATTTTACCGAAAGCAAATGCGTTGCAGTTCAACGAATGTCCTTCACACGCTGAAAAGAAAACCACAGCGGCCATAAAAGCGAGCTCTACTATGCCGGCAAAAGCGGCTGAACAATGGGAAGGACTTTAATAGACGCTTAAATAAATCATACGCCCCGTGTGTCGCGCTTTTTTTACCCTCAAGTGCTGCTTTCATGTGTGTGCGCTGCGTGACATTGAGCTCTGTATGGAACGTTTGAAGCAGCCTTATTTTTTGCACGTGTTTGCCGCACTTTACCGCCGCCCGAGGCCTATTTGTCTAATTGTCTAATTCTAATTTTAAAGTGTGTTTTTCACTCGCTGTTGTTGCATGCATTGTGGGCCGATTTAATCGTATTTGTTTTTGCTTTTTTGCGGGCAACCCCTCCTCGGGCCATTTATCTAATCAGGGACAGCACACAAATGCTCAAAGTTCGTTTCTGCCTTTTACTTTCAAGACACTTTATTGATTTTCCTTTTGGGAGCGGTGTAAGTGGTTCGTTTTATTTTCTTTTGGCTTTCAGGTGTGCACTAGAGAAACCCCACACTTTCGCCCCTTTCCACCTGTCTGGGTGTCAAATTCGTATTCATATTCACAATCACGATGTGTGAGTTGAGTTCTGGATTATCCTTCACTTTGATTATTGCATTATCCTGTCTGTCACTGGCTTGTTCAGGGCAAATTAAATTGTCAATTTCGGTAAATGGCGAAAGGAAACGCGATGGGGGAAATAGAGAGCTCTAATGGAAACAGATATCATTAATCAATATGGGGCTTACTTCAATGTTTTAGACATTGATTCTCAGCACTTTAATTGGAACGCCTTTGGAAATGGCTATGTCGCAAGATATTACTCACGCTAGGAGTTAAAAATAGCAGACAAATGTTTCCATGCCCTTAGGCAATTACTAATTATTTTTTTGGGCATTATGTGGGCTTCAAAACAAAATGATTAAGACGTTAGGGTGAAACTTTGTTGATGCGCAATTTTACGGGTTTCTTTTTTCAGTTGTTGTCCATTTAATATTTAATTTAAGCAATACATTCAAGAATAATTTGGTTGGGACTAGAAAAGTTATTTAAAATTTTTTTATTCTTGTGAATATCTGTATTTTAAAATCCAGTTTTAAGTGTTTTCTTTTTTTTAATTTTAATTGCCATTGTTTGTAGGTTACAACAAATTTTTAACGTAATTACTTATGGGTAGATCTGCCGCGCTTAACTAAAAGTCTTCTTTGAAATCGACAGAAAAATAAGACAAGTGGTAAACTTAATAAGAAGTGTTCGCAATGACATAAGTTTTCTTTTGTACGCGAAAAAGCTTTTATAAATGTCTTGCAATTTTTTCTTTTACTGTTCCATTTCATTTTTTATTCCAAGCTTGATTAATATTTCTTGAAGTCTCCTATCTTTCTGCACAGAACAACGCCATAATTTCGTCATTACATGCCACCCAACCATGTTTAATCTACCACCGCAAATTACTGAGACCGAAATAGAATTGCACATTAAAAATGATGATGATGGAGATGATGAGCGGAGTGGGAGTGGCACCTGCTTTCGACGATTCGAGGGTCACTTTTCCGCCCTAGACCAGCACTTTCCACGACCACTTCGGCTTCATTATGGTTGCACTCATTGTTGATTGGGTCAGACAAATTTAAATAAATTTTTAAATAGTTTCGGGGACGTCACAAAGTTCGCAAAGAGTTGACTGCCGCGTGCCATGTAATGGATTAAAATATTTGGGGGAGCACCAAAATTAACGTTGCAAAGTTCCAACAAGTTTTCAAAGTTTTTCACTCTCTGACGCGCCGAAATATGGGACAACTTGGTTGAATATTTAAGCCATGAAAACGCGGCCAACACGGTGCTCGGGTCGTCCGTTAATGAAGGTGCGATTCAAATATCGTTTCGTTTGGGGCTAAAACTATGAAATTCTTCATTCCAGTCGGACTGAGGTGTGTTTTTTGTATATACCCGAACACATTGGTGTATGTTAGTACTACCACCGATTGTGGGTGAGTGGCTTAGAGTGTTTGCGTGTCCATATCGCTTCATGTTTGTGGTCGTATTTGCGGCAGACTCGGTCGGTCGGTCTAGCATGCCCTCTCACTCGCTCCCCTGCCGACTGACTGTCTGTCTGTCCCGCTTGCGACTGTGCGTTTTCCCCTTCTAACTGGATTATAAAAATTGATTTTTAATTTTTATGACAATTTCCAACTGACTCATGGCGAGCGTCGTCGCTCGTTCGCCTGGCATTCGCAAAGAATGTTCCTCGTCAATTCATTCCATTCCTATTTTCTCTTCCTTGGGCAGCCGAACCACCACCATCGGGTCCGATTTGAACTGGCATGGCAGTTTGTTTTTCTTGACAATGGGCTAACAATGTATGGATAATTTACCGTGGGGCCAGCGATAAGGTTGGAATTACTAGCCCAAGAAGGCCAAGGTCATGCCTAGTAGGGTTTGGGTAGGGAGTATTTTCTGAGTAATTGATATTGTAATGCAATTATAATTTACTTTAGTTAAGAGCTAGGGTAATTTTGGTTAATCTTAGATTTAGCAGTATTACTAATTAAATATGTTTAAGTTACTATGTTTGACCTGAAAGACATTGTTTTTATTTTTGTACTATTGGAAAACTACATATTTAGAGGCAAACAAATACGATTAACCAATTTTTATAATTTATATCTTTTTTGCCTTAGCTTAAATAGCCTTTAGGCACCATTACTTATTAGCTGCGCTTAAATTCACATAGCAAGTTAGTTTAAAAAAAAAATGTAAAAGTCTTTTTGGAATTTTTGTTTATTAATAGTACATAAATTTTTATTCAAAAATTATATTTAAAGTCTAGCTTTTGACTGAGTAAATCTAAACTTGAAAATGTCGTAAAAAAATTAGTTTCAAAAAATAATTCCAATTTTTTATTTAACATATATAATGATCTACAATTACTTCCGAAAACGGTTTATTATCGTTGTTGTAGAGCACATTCTCCACCGTGCCATGTCTGCCATTAAAGTTGTGTGTGGTGTGTGCTTGCGGCAAATAGTCGTGATGTTGCCCACTTCGTGACACATTAATCATGACCCGCTCAACGGCTGTTTACCTTAGCTCTGACCAGCACCATCACCCACACCATCCACACCACCCGCACCACAATTTTACCCACTTCCACTCCATTTTCCATTACTCCCAGGACATTCGGTTGTAGGCAAATACTACAGTTTGTTTGTTTGCGGGTTTGCCTTTGATCGCTCCATATGGAAATTGGAAAACTTTTTACGCGCCGGCCTCGCGCGAAGCCAACATGAAATAGAGGAAAAGCGAAATGAAAATGCCAGCGGTTCGGCGCGGTCAGTAGTCCCCATAGTGCGTTGTTGCTGCGTGTCCTTTGATATAAATTTATACCTTACAGTAGAAAGCTTTTAGGTCAAGAATCGTTATGTATATAAGAGCTAATAAACAATTCTTGCTTGGCTATCAAAATTCAGACATTATACGTTAGTCCTCAAGTAATATTTTATTAGTTGTACGTTAATTCTTTATTTTTTTAATGTTTTTGAACATTAGGTAATTCTGAAACTCTTATATCTGAAATCGATTAAAGCAAGGCCAAAAAAAGTTTATTTACGAGCCCATAAAAATACTTTTCCTAGACAGAAAGTAAAAAACTTGAAACTTTATTGTGTTATATTGAAGATTTAATTTATGGAAGTTATACTGTATGCCAATGGAATATATTTTTTGCTGTCTGTTCGGACGGAGTGGCGCCAACAATCGTAATGGATCCCTGGAAAGGCAGTGGGTCGAGTAGGACTGCTGGTCAGCGCCCTCTAAAAGGCAGAAAGTCAACTGCGTCATTGTTGGGGGGAAAAAGCATGCCCCAGCCCAAATTCACCCATTTTCCGAGGGGCGTGAGATAAAGGGCCCCAGGCTTGGCCAGGCCCATTTCCAGTGACCTTGCATCATTAACTTAATTGCTCAAACAGTCGACGGTCCGTCCAATTGCCGGGCTGAATTATTCAGTTGTTCTGCTCGGCCAACTGGCAATTTTGCGTCTTTTCTAATGTCACCACAAGCTCATAGAGGACGGGCTGTCTCTCTCTATTCGCTGCTGCATTGGAAAAGCCACCCGACAGCCCAGTTTTTCCACAGGGGATGGTGAAAATCCCCACGTGCATTCGTTGTGGTCGTTGGCCCGTTCACGTTGTCTCCGCTTTTTCGAGGGGCGTCACGTGTAGAGGGGCTTAGTCCCCTTCCCAATTTAACATTTTTTTAACGAAAACAAAATGCAGAGATACAGAGAGAAAACCAGGCCTAAAACCCTTTTCAGCCGGACTAATTGGATTGAAGAGTTTTCCAGCTGCGCTTTGCTACTGCAGCAGACATTTTCATATTCATATTTTTAAGAATTCGCATAGGGGTTTTTCGGTACAGCTTAAGGTTGAATATAAATACATACCTGCATCGTCTTATCCAATATGAAATGACAACAATTCCACCCAAAATCAAACCACCTAAGGCACACCAAAAAAGGGTCTGAAAAAAAGAAGTTAAATGGATTAATAAATGTACTTTATAATAATGTCCGAAAAAAGGTTAAGAAATTTCAAACTTAAGTTCTATTTATTTTATTGTGGCGTATTTTCAACTGTACTTTTTATCAATGTACAAAAGACCATATTTAATTTATTGTTATATTATAACTTAAGTCCTAAACAAAACTTTGTTTTATCATAAATCAGTGAACTTGGCGACGCACAACTTTTTTTCTGCCCATTTGCATTACTTCCTTATCAATATTTATTTAATTATGACACATGCATAATTAAAAAGACTTAAAAATTCAATGAAAATCTTTATTTTCACCTTTTGAACCCGAAATTAATAAATTATTTTTTATCAGCTGACCTTTTAATAATCGTTACTCATCGTTGGCAAAAAGGTCTTTTCCTACCCCAAAAAATTCTCAACTTGGCTTTTTCTTAAGTAAAGTTCAGTGAACAACTTGACATCTTTGTAAAAGGTTCATAAGATTTTTCCGCCCACGTTTCAATCCTTTCCAGTCGGACAAGGCCACGCCCGCTTGAACTTTGTAATCAAATTGTATATTTCTGCTTTCACGCTTTATAGAAGCAGCATGAGGAGGTTACAAATCATTGGCGAGGATAATTATTTCAATTTTATGGACAGACGGACAAGTCAGAACCATATTCGATGGCGGATCATCAATTTTGCAGCCAGAAATGTCAATTGCAGTTGGCATTTGGGGTCAGAGACGAGGCCAAAGAATGTCAATCCAGACACGAGTCGATAGATATCAGATTGTGTGTGCAGGAATCTGTCGATTCATTGGGGCATGGGGTCACGAATGATTTATTGACCAAGTGTCTGGATAGATCATGAAAGATGCATCACCAGAAGTCGGGGAAATAAGTGAAAAGGATGCTGTGACGAAGGTTTCCTCTTTCTTATTTGGTCAATTAAGAGTTAAACTTTGCCGCTTTTTATGTAGTCAATGGCAAATATTAGGTAAGGAATTCCAATTGAATGATTTAAGATGGATTAAAATTACATCTTTAGCTTTTTCAATTTAACGATTAAGTGTTTTAATTCAGTGACTGCACATATTAATTCATCAATGCCACAAATAATTTGCTCAATTAAATCAATTTCTCTCGATTTCGTCTTTAACCCTTTCAATCGAGTTTGTGTTAGAGTGAAAATTGAAATGAAAGGCGCCTATTCGCCGACAATTTGCCATCTTCCAAACAATTTTCAAGCAATAAAATTCTATTGCCAGGACACACACTTGAAGGCGGCCTTTGTCTCCGGCTTTTTGGGTTCATCCTGCCACCGATGGAACTTCCTGCCAGGCTGGCATCCTGCCAATTCAAAGACAATGCCACATCAGCCTTTCCTCGCTTTCATTCAGCATTTGTGGCCACTTTGCTCTGCCTAACTATTTTTTGGCAACCACTTTGAATTTTTGGCCTGCCATTTTTATGGCTCTATAATTGCAACCGCAAGGAGTTGGCAAGTTATGAAAATTATAATAAAATACTCGAAAGTTCAAGGTCCACTCCAAACTAATACTTACAATCCAGTAGTGCGTTTCAGTTTGTCTGCTTGTATTCAATAGCATCGCACGTTCCTTTCATCTAAGAGCACGTCACAGTTGGTTTGCTGTAATGGAAAACGAAAGATTTGGTTAGTCCAGGACTCGGGAAAACAAAGTATCAACATTGTAAGTTGAGCTGCAGAGCGGAAATATTGTTTGCATACTCGTATCTGAAAGTTTTCTTTCTTGGAGTTTGTTTCAAAAGCACATTTGGTTAGGCAAACTACCAGTATAAGGTATACTGCCATAGAAAATAAGTTAAACTTGTTTAAAAAATTTGGGTAAAACAGTATTCACCTGTTTATTTTTCAGTAACTTAAGCTATTTAGGGTCTTTATTCTTTAAAAAGTAAGTAGAATCTTAATAATCTTAATTCAATGGCTATCAAGATAAAAACAGAGACAAGCTAAAGTCTTTATATGTACTCTTGTATTCACCTCCTTATTGGCAAGCTATCGACCATTTTCCCGAATTCCTACTACTGTAATTACGCATTTATTGATTTGTTTTTGGCCCGAGTATAATTGCCCAAATAGCAAACACTGCCGCCCATTGAGTAAGCTCAGCTGAGTCAACAGCGATGGCGATTAGCCCTGCTCATCGAATTTTAAGAGCACTCTGTCCAGGCTGGAGTGCAGGGGGGAGGGACAATGGGGGGGCGGATGTCCTGGAAAAGTTTCGCCTTGAGATTCGACCGGCGAAGCTCATTGCGTTTGATTTACGAGGACTTGTTCATTGGAGCGCTCTCAATATTTTAGTGGCTGCCGCCTTCGCAATTATCATCATCAACAGTGCCAATATTGGTAGGCAGGAAAAATATCTTCGGATTAAATGCTTTTGCTTACTTCTGGAATTTCCGCAGGACGAGCTGGAGGTGGGAAATGAGAAACTGACGATTTTTCTGCTTTTCTCTCTGAAATTGTCTGCCATGTTCCGCGTCTCAACTTTGAACTTTTCTGGCTAAACAAATGTTAGCCAAAAGTACACTTTTATATTCACATGGCTATTGTTTGACGTTCATTTATGTAGGAAAAATTAAGGCAAACGAAACTTTTATTATAATTTAGTAGATAAACTTTAAATAGAAATATTTATGCCAATGGAAAATGTTTTCGTTCATTATATATTCATTATATACACCGTATGAGTTTAATTTATGCAGAACATAAATTATACCATAAAAGGAACAATCTTTATTTTAGTGACTAATTTATCCCAAATATATATTAGCATATTATAAGAACTAAATAAAAGTAATTCAGTTGATTTGCCAATCAATTCAGTATAAAATATATTCGTAGATAAACAGCTATTTTAATGTTATTCCGTTTGAATTTAATGGATGAAAGAAAAGCAATCAAAATTTTTGCGAAAAACTTTTTAAGTTATCCTGCGCAAAACTAAAAATTATGCAGAAGAAAAAAATTGTACTTTAATAGTATTAATTTAAACATTTAATGGTTAATAAGAAATATATATTGTATTATTACAATATCCAAGAATTTTTTTCCATGTTTTAAGTTTTCCTAATGTATTGGAATGGTTCATATAAAATAAATAAACCCTTTTCCAAACATCTACACATTTATTTAGAAGACTTCTAAGACAAACGAAATGCAAGCTTACGATTCAATATTGAACGAAGACATAGATCCCAACCTCAGGAACACCCCTTCACTCAATATCTGCAACTCCCCTTTTCCATTTGACCTGATTTACCAATTCTCAATATTTCCTGTACAAAAAAATATGCAAATTTTCCCAACTGACTCTTGAAGTGTAATCAATGCTTTTTTTGCCCTTGCAAGGCTCTGGTGGCCAGGAATTTGCAAAGTGGCACTTGCGTGCATTGCATAAATAGATTTTTCACTCTCCAAAAACCGAAAACGGCAAAATTATGCAGAAATAGAAAAAGAAATGTAGTGTAGATGGGGGAAAGTAAAGGGAAGCATTGATTTTGAGTGTAATGCGTACAAATGTTCGGCTGTTGAAATGGCAATTTATGTTCAGAATTGATAAAAGGAAAAACCTTCAGAACTTGAATTGATGTAGGCTTCTGGGTGATAACACTATTTCAGTGAGTGTTATTTATATCTAGACATTTACAAATGTTAACTAATTCAACGAGGATAACAATGTATAATAAAATTATTCGTGTTGCAGTCAATAATTATTTAAGGTTTCAACATAATTTTTTTAATTATTTCAGAATTATACAAAAATGTATTATGTTTGTTTAGTTTTTGTTATAACGACATTTGTGTGTAAACGACACAAATTAGGCTATTAAAATTCCATTTTGAAACATTTTTTTTAAATTTAAGTGTTCAATAAAATCAAATAAGCAATTACATATTCAACAGCTCCAAATCAGATAATCAGAGTTGATGACAAACGATCAAGGACTGCAGGCCAACACTCCCTCTTTATTCCCCAGACTCTGATGTCGTTTTTATGCCACACATGAATGCCGTCAACGTCCCATCAACAAACACATCGTCAAAGACAGTTACGTTCCTCCCACTGAAATTCAAATGTGTTGGCATATGTTATGAAATTAACGAGTTTACTTTGTGCGGGCGGCATTATAAACAGGCAAACAAAAATGGCCTAATAAAATTGTCAATAATGCGACAGCCACACGCGGTGCGGAAATCAAATGAGGGTTAGAAAAGCGGAGACTGCCGAGATAACTGCTGACATCAAGGACATTACTCATACGCAACGTGTGCAAGCTTCGACTGGAAATCAACTGCAGCTGACCAAAAATCAGTGTCACTTTCAGCGGGTTCATTTATCATCGCTTTGCCCTCGCAGCAGACAAGGATTAAGGACCAGAGGATGAGGTCCAAGGTCTTGGGCCAGCTGTCATGTTGAGCCAGTCAACGTGATTTGTCTCGACGTCAGTCAAATCAAGTTTTTCCTAGGAGTCGTGTCTTTTCGGTGGATACATACTCTGGAAAAAACATATTTTTTGCTTACAACTGCTTATTTGCGTAGTTTTCTCCAACAATTTAAATTTTTTAACAAATTAATATTTCTATCTTATTGATCTTCAAAGCAAACTTTATAAAACTTTTGAAAAAATAATTAAACTATTATTAATCAATTGCTTAATTGATAAAGATGTAACATGTTAGTATGTTATTATTTTTAATTGTAAAATTAAACTCTGTAAAAAAGCTTTAATGACATAATTGTTTTTTCGGAACTTAAACATATTTACTTTTCATTTTCTTTAATTCAAAACTTTGCACATGAACATTTTTGTGAAGAAACTTTAGTGTTGTAGGCTGTTTAATTATGAAGACAACAGACTCTTATAATTTTAAACTTTTCATTAACGTTTCATAAACTTTTTGTACAAACTTGCGGTTTTAATTTGTTCTTCATTCATATAACATATATTGTCTTTGCATAACAGCATTTTTTCTCTGTGCATTAAAAACCGCACCCATTTCTCGAAGGGTGGTGTATGCGAAGTGAAAATATGGTGCCAAGTGAAAACTTTCAAGGCCCCACACGCACACAGATTTTTTGTTGTTGCGTGTAAACTCATAATTTGGCGTCGCGGTAAAAGTTTTGCCTAGAATTTCTTGTCGCTCAATTTGATGCGTGCAAATGGGCGGTAAGCGTGGGGCGTGGCACTCCAGGCTATTATGATTATCGCTTGCGAAAACATTAATTAGAAGGTCATTGGCGAACAGTGAGAGCTGTTCGTAAATAATATTAATTAAGCCATTACGTGCTACTTCCTTTTTGTTTGGCTGAGTGTCAATGGAATGGCTTTAGTTAACTTAATTGGAACAAAATTTAGTACGACGCTGGAGATGGGAATATCAGAAGGGGTAATTAAAGTCACTTATTCTAAAAGGTATACATTAGAAAACATGTTTCCGAGTTTAGGAGGCTAATTGCTTTCTTAGCCATTTGTTTTATTTATGTAATTTGCATTCATGACTGTCTCTTTCATTTTTAATTTTTAAATTACACTGCAAAACTCACAAGTCTTATTATCAATGTAGGATCAGTATTTCCTTATTTTTAGTATTTATAACAAAAATATTAATTTAAAATGTAAACTATAATTGAATGTTTTAGTTTTACAATTTTATTTTGATATATAAAGAATTTTATGAGTTTTCAACAAAAAAAAATATTCTGCCAACTAGACAAAAACTATAAAATAAAACAATTTGATAAGTAAAGAGAACTTTTTGTGGCATTTTATTGAACGTTTAAATGCAGTTCAAATGTGGTGCGAACTATTTCCCTTACATTTAGTTCTCTCGCATTAGCCATTTCTTTCGGCTCATCTCTCCATTTTCCCATTTCCGCAGATCAACCAAACGGCAATGGCAATGGTAATGGCCAAGAAAAGCAACCAAATGGCAGAAAGGAAAAACTAGATAATGTGGCAAGCGAATAAACAAATCTGGCTATGGGCCTCTATATTGTTGGTCAGTTCCGCAGAAATCGGCGTAGAAAATGGACGCCGGCTATTCGCCCCGTAAAGTACGTGCAAAATTATCTATACTTCTATTTGTTTATGGGTGTGCGAGTGTATCTGTGTGAGCGGGAGTGTACGTTGGTAAATTAAATTGGGTAAAAATGCAATTAAAGAAAGTGAAATTCGAGCGAATTGCAATGCAATCAAATGCGAATTCAAATCAATAAAATTGATTGCAGGCCAAAGAGCGACAAAAAAAGAGGGTGGAAAATAAATGAAAAAGGAAGGAAAGAGCGGGCGAGAAAAGCTTTTCCCATCGCGCTACGACTTTGACTTGTGTTTGGGCAGATCGACATGACCACCCTCTATAAATGCGTTTTTAATGTTCCAGCGATAATGACAAAGAATCACCATCTGTGAATGCGGGTTCGCCGGACGACATGGCCATGTTCGACCTTTTCCTTTTTCACCTCTCACTCTGCCAAACCGGATGTAATAAAAGCGAACGAAGACGGACTTGCAACGGAAGTGCAGAAAAACCCAAC